GGGGGGGGGGGAGCAGACTCCCATCATGCACAAAGCTCAGCACAGCAGGGCAAGAAAAGGGCCCAGCTCCACTTTCCAAGGCTGCTGGGTTTGTTTGTTTTTTGCTCCACAACACAGTAAACACACACACAACCGGCTGTGAGGCAGCCTGCTGGGAGCAAAGGGGAGGATGCCGCAACGCTTTCAGGCGGAGGTGAAAAACTCACCAGTTTAAGAGTGGTTTGCAGGACATGAGGTATAAGCGGCCTCCTTTCTTAGGAAACACAGTTACAGTAAGGGGGGGGAGTGGGGGCACTACCCCCCCCTATTTGCATTCCATGTATTTCTGTATATTATATATAAGGCACAGTCTCTCCACCCCAGCTCCCGCTGGAGAAGGGAAAGGCAAAGCCCTTGGGGCCGGTCGCCAGGAGCGCAGGACTCGCCGAGCCCTGGCTGGGCAGCAGGGGCACGAGCAGCGGCCCAGCACTCGGCCCCCGCGCGCAGGCAGCGGCGCTCCTACGCAGGCCCAGGCCTGGGGCCTTGCCTCCCTCACTTACCACTATTTAGGGGAAAAAAACCCGTAAAGACGAGACAGCCTCAGCCTCTCAGGTTTGGGCAGCTTATAAAACGCTGTACGGGACTCAGCTGAAAGTGCTGCAGTAGCGCTGTCACACGAGGACACTATCTCCTCTCTTCGTCTTTTCTGAGAGTGTGCTATCTCCAAAAACAATAGGACAGTTGAATTAATTTTTGCTTTGCCTAATTTGAGAACCCTCACTATACCGCACCGGCCTGGCAACAAAACCACACGTTCAGGTTTTGCTAGGGATCTAGGGAGACATGAACAACGTCCAAGTTGAAAGATGCTGAAGTACCGACGCAAAATACCTGTAAGAACAACAACAAGCAGAATAAAGATTAGAAAACATGCACGGCCTGTTGCAACTGCAAAGACAATGCACCTTACTACTGTTTAGCTAAAGAATACATTCAAACTACACTCATCCAGTGTTTGTACAGAAAGAAAAACACTGCGGAGCCGGTCGGCGTTGCCGCTCCCCGGCGCCCGGAGGACGCGCTGCGCTGCAGCCCTCCACGCAGGACGCTGCCTGCGCTGCTCCTTACAGCAGCTGACCGACCAACAGTAAGAACAGAGCAGTAATTAAAAGGTTTTACTTCATTAAATGTGACAGTCACCTGAGGATGAGCAATTACAGGCACATGCTAGAGAAGATACTTTAAACTAAGTAAAAAGGTCTGAACTGGAAAATAATCAGAAAACCCAAGGGCACCCGCAGCCCTCCCCCACCCCGCGCACACTGCGAAGCCCTACAGCCGCCCCCCCAGTCCAAGGCCCCCTCGGACCGGGGCGCGGGGGCAGCGGCTGGCCGGCCGCCCGGGGAGGAGGGCGGAGGGCGCCCCCCAGCCCTGGCAGGGCTCCCCACGGCCACGCGCCACCTTCCAGCGCGCTAGCCCTGCCCTTCCTGCCGGCGCTGCACGGACGTACCCTCCTCACCTGCTCGCACGGAAACCGTCCCCCAAGGAGCGCTCCTCTTCCAAGAGGGTAAAGGGAAGTCACGTCTCAGGCTTGAAAAACCCTGGTTTCCTTCCAGTCAACAGTTACCAGCATCTATCAAACTAACAAGAGCTACAAGCTTGTAGGAGAGTCCCCCAAAACCAATTTGGCAAAATATTTTAATAGTGGCATGGAAACGAAGTTCTAGTCATCTCAGAAGTAGCCTTTCAGTCAATAAAGTAACATAACTGGAACTGCTTCTTAAAAAAAAAATTCCACGTTTTAACAGACTCTCAGGTACAACAAAGCAGTCGACACACAAACTCCGACCCGTCACAACAGTAAAGGACAATTTTCTTTTTCTTTTTTCCTTTTTTTTTTTTTTTTTAAAGGGGCAGGGGCATGGAAAAAATACAGCACACTAATGAAACAAAATGCAAAAAATACAAAAAAATAGAAAATAGAAAAAATGTATTTACAAGTGATACATTACTATGATCAGAAGCACAAAGACACTTGCTGCTATAATACATGCATTGGGTCAAGAAGGAACTACTAAAAACCTGCAAGGGAGCTGTTTGGGGGAAAAAAGGAGGAAGAAAAGAACCAAAAAAGGACAACCCCCGCATCCCTCCCCTCTCAAATAAACAGGGTTGGATTTAAACTTTTTTCTTCCCTAGATTGCTACATTGATCAAAATCAAATGTCCCCTAAAGTCCATGAGTACAATCAGTACAAATACCACACTGGTTTTTAAACTGCAGGTTCAGTTTTACGATGAGGGGGAAAAAAAAAAACCCAGCAGCTCATTGTAGATTCATATACAAGAAAGCCAGAGTAAACTGCTCTACATGCTAAAAATTACAGCAAGCCCCTGTCTGCTACATAGCATGATCTTAGCAGGTTTTCCTTTTTATTTATTCATATATATATCTATATGTATGTATATATATATGTATAAAAATCGTGCCCTTTTTCACTGCAACATGACATCTGGGTGGAAATGTAACTTGTTACAACAAATTTTTATATGTATACTGCAAGAAGTCACTCAATGTCTGTGGATTTAATAAGTAACCTCACACCACAGGAAATATTTAATAAATCAAAAAAAAAAAATTGTGACAGAAGAGATTCTGTCTCAGTTCTTTTCAAAACCGAAGTCCAACAGGAAACTGGTCCCAATGTACATGAGGGGTTCTCTGAAGAAGCTTCAGTTTGCTTAACTGGTTTTTCTTTTAGTGTTCACAAGTTCTGGAACGACTTCAAGCCGTTCTCAGTTTCAAGTCTGTCTCCTCCTCTCTCACACAGGTAATAGTCTGGTACTAATCCGTTAGAGTGAGGAAAAGAGGAAAGTGGCTGCAGTTGCACAAAGGGTCCCCAATTCCACATCTGCGGGGAGAAAAGGAATCAAACGGAGCTCCAGGATCTTAGCTTTTCTTTTTTTTTTTCCCCTCCTCTCTCCTTTTTCTCCTTTTAACTCCAAGTCCATTCACACAAGTCCCATCATTGGTACGTTCCCAAGTACCAGCCAGTCCAGCTTTAGGAGACGACAAAGCCACAAGTTAAAGTGAAAAGGACCAAGGCAGAAGTTCAGGTCACTTTCTATCTGTTCCATCATACTTCCAGGAAACGGGAGCTGCTGGACTTGGAGTGGAAAGGCTCAGACCACATGCGGCGCAGATCACCCTAG